CATGCCGTGGCATGGCTTTCGAAACAATGACGCCAGCGCTGAGATTCGGGACGAGCGGAAGCGCGGAAATGAGGCGAGCGCTGCAGCGGGAGCACGATTGGAAACGACGGGAGGCGTGGAAATGAGGCCAGCGCTGCAGCGGGAGCACGATCTCGAACGAGCAAAAGCCCGAAAATGAGGCCAGCACTTCAGCGGGAGCAACTTGTTGAACAACCCCTGCGAAAACCCAGCTCCTGGGAATCATGCATGTAAAAAGCAATACGCGGAGGTTCCCGACGTCGTCAGGAGAGAGGGGAGAGTAGTATTCACAGTGTATAATTGTGGAGGAGGAGGAGAAAGAGGGGGAGCGGGAGGGAGGAGGAGAAGGAGGAGAGGAGGAGGAGGAGGAGGAGGAGGAGGAGGAGGAGGAGGAGGAGGAGGAGGGAGGGAGGAGGAGGACGAGAAGGAGGAGGAGGAGGAGGACAGGAGGAGGAGGAATAAGAGGAGGAGGGAGGAGGAGGAGGAGGGAGGAGGAGGAGGAGGAGGAGGAGGGAGGAGGAGGAGGAGGTCGGAGGAGGGAGGAGGAGGAGGAGGAGGAGGAGGAAGAGGAGGAGGGAGAGGAGGAGGAGGAGGAAGAGGGAGGAGGAGGAGCAGGAGGGGAGGAGGAGGGGGGAGGGCGAGTAGTATTCACAGTGTATAATTGTGGGGGAGGAGGAAAACGAGGGGGAGCGGGAGGGAGGAGGAGAAGGAGGAGGAGGAGGAGGAGGAGGAGGGAGGAGGGGAGGAGGAGGAGGAAAAAGGAGGAGGAGGAGGAGGAGGAGGAGGAACGGGAGGGGCGTGGTGGGAGGGGGAGTCGGAGGAGGAGGAGGAGGAGGATTTGGAGGGAGGAGGGAGGAGGGAGGAGAGAGGAGGGATGAGTCGGAGAAAGGAGGAAAAAGGAGGAGGGGGAGGAGGAGTAAGAAGGAGGAGGAGGAGGAGGAGGACCAGTGTAAAGCCAATAGTCATCAACGATGTTAGAACTAACTTTCCCTCCAAGCTCCCTCTTCATAGGCCCTTACATCGGTTCACTTCCACGGAGGGACAACCGTTTGAAGATCTCGAAGCATGCCAAGACATTGCTCTCGGTGTTCCAATACCGTGGAACAACCTGACTGCTGCATCTTGACGATCCAGAAGTGTCAAAACACCATTTTCGGGACTTCAACACCGCGAGCCAACCGACCTGTTGCACCCGCATAATCTTGAACCCTTCCAAAACACCATTTCTGGTACGCTGGTCATGGGAATCCGTGAAACTCTTGCAGATGTTTAAAACGAATGCGTGCGGCATTGAACCACATTTTGCAAACGATCCGCCCTCTCTCTATCCGTGAAACTCTTGCAAATGTTTTGAACGAATGTGCGCGGCGCTAGGCGAGAGCCACATGTTGAAAAGGAACCGCCTTCAATTCGCGAAACTCTCGCCAATGCTTAAAACAAATGTGCGCGGCGCGAAAGCGAGAGCCACATTTTGAAAACGGCCCGCCCTCAATCCGTGAAACTCTTGCATTTGTCTAAAACGAATGTGCGCGGCACTACGGCGAGAGCCACATTTTGAAAACGACCCGCTCTCAATCCGTGAAGCTCTTGCACACGGCCCTAAGGCGAGAGCCGCATTTTGAAAACGACCTGCCATCAATCGGTGAAACTGTAATCACTTTAGTCATACATGGCGAGGAAGTCTCAGGCGAAACGCCCGGCCCGCCCTAAAAACTGGCCTCGGGGTGCGCCAGGGAGAAGTTATTTATATGGGAGAAGAAAGGAGAAGGAGGAGGAAGAAACAGGATGAGGAGGAGGAGAGGGAGGAGGAGGGGTGGGGGGAGGAAGGAGGGAGGAGGGAAGAGGGAGGAGGGAGGTGGGAGGAGGGCGGAGGGGGGAGGGAGGAGGCAGGAGGCAGGAGGCAGGAGGAGTAGGAGGAGGAGGAGGAGGAGGAGGAGGAGGAGGAAGGTGGGCGACTCAGGCAGAACAGGGAATCTGGACCCCTAGGGCCAAGGGACTTCGGAAGCACCTTTTTCTGTTTGCCAGTCTCCCCTCCCAGGTGCTTCCCTAGTTTTTCCCAGCTTCTACCGGTGCTTCCGGGTGCTTCACTTGCTTGCCTAGCTTTCCCGTGGCCTTCCCTCCCCCGGGCAAATCTCCTGGTTCCTTCCCATATGTGTTGTCTGTCGCCGAGCACAGTTTGGCCTTCAGACTTCTGTGTGATCCTGCGGCGCAGGAGGACGAGGAGGAGGAGGAGGAGGAGGAGGAGGAGGAGGAGGAGGAGGAGAGGAGGAGAGGTGGCGGTGGAGACCGAGGCCAAGCCGCAACCAGGTTCGATATCCGCCGAGCCTCCAAGACAGAGCGCCACCCAACGCGCGCTCTCTCTGCTGTCTCAGGGGCGCCGCGGGGGCGGGCACCGGGCCAGGGGGGGAACGTCGGCCCATCTCGACCATGCATCGCCAATCGGGGCTTGTGCGCCCCACCTCGCCGACGTCGGCGGATTCCGAGCCACTGGCGGCGCTCGACCTCGAACGCCAGCGCTTGAGGTCGCCGCTGCGCCAACGCGGGGCAACGCACGCACGCACACACATGTACACACACACGCGCACACGCACACACGCACACACACACACACACACGCACACACACACACACACGCACACACGCACACACGCACACACGCACACACGCACACACGCACACGCGCACACACGCACACACGCACACACGCACACACGCACACACGCGCACACGCGCACACACACACACACACCACACGCACACGCACACGCACACACACACACACACACACACACACGCGCACACGCGCACACACACACACACACACGCACGCACACACAC